GCAGTCCAGCGATCGCACAGAGGGTGCGGAGCTGGCAGGTGTTGGATGAGGTGGAGACGCTATCCGATCATCGTTATATTCGGATAGACGTTCTCCCCTCACCCGTAGCTCCGCACCCCGGTCGCCAGGAGAGGAATGTCCCACAACTCCCCAGATGGGTGTTGAAACGTCTAGATAAAGACGTGCTGATGGAGGCTTCCATCGTCCAGGCCTGGGTTCCCATACCGGAGGGGCCTGTGGAGGTCGACGCAGAGGTGGGCTGGTTCGGCGAGGCTCTGTCGCACATTTGCGACGCGGCGATGCCCCGAGCCGGCCCTCGACCTCCTAGGCGTCAGGTGTACTGGTGGTCGGAGGAGATAGCGGCGTTGAGGGAGGAGTGCTCCGCCGCCCGCCGCCGGTACACCAGGCACCGCCGACTCAGGCGGGGCCGCGACGCCGACGAGGAAGCACAGCTGTACGAGCAGTACAAAGAGAAGAAGAAAGCTCTGCAGCTGTCCATCAGCAGGGCCAAGGAGACAGCCAGGGAAGAACTCCTGGAGACCCTGGACAGGGATCCATGGGGGCGACCTTATAGGTTCGTCAGGGGCAAATTACGCCCCTGGGCGCCCCCCGTGGCAGAGGGTCTCCAGCCGCAGCAGCTGGAGGAGGTGTTGGAGGAGCTGTTCCCGAGACAGCCTCCCTTCACACCTCCTCCGATGATGCCGCGTGGCAGTGATGGAGAGGCCAGCGGCGTCAGCGCTGCTGCGGTTCCTGCCATCACCGAGGAGGAGTTCGCCGCGGCCGTGGATAAACTCCGGGGCAAGAACGTCGCCCCGGGTCCGGATGGCATCCACGGCCGCGTCCTGGCCTTGGCCCTAAACACCCTAGGGGACCGACTCCGGCGCTTGTTCAACGCGTGTCTGGAGTCGGGACGGTTTCCCAATCAGTGGAAAGCGGGTAGAGTGGTCCTGCTCCGCAAAGCGGAGCACCCCGCAGGTTCGGTGGTTCCCTCGGCGTTCCGCCCCATAGTGCTGTTGGACGAGATCGGCAAGCTCTTCGAGAGAATCTTGGCGGGCCGACTCGTCCAACACCTGTCTCAGGTAGGTCCCGATCTCAGCCCGAAGCAGTTCGGGTTCCGAGAGGGGCGCTCAACGATTGACGCGATCTCGCGTGTGCGCTCCCTCTCGGAAGAGGCGACGTCCCAGGGTGGGGTGTTGTTGGCGGTCTCTCTAGACATTAAGAACGCCTTCAACACCCTGCCCTTTGCGACTATTAGGGAGGCGCTGAAGTACCATCGCGCGCCTCCCTACATTCGGGACGTGATCGGGGCCTATCTCGAAGACAGGTCTGTGCTATGCACGGGGCGGAACGGCGTTGTAGTGCCGAGGGAAATGGAACGCGGTGTTCCACAGGGGTCGGTTCTGGGCCCGATCCTGTGGAACATCGGGTATGATTGGAACCTGCGGGGCGCCCTTTTAACGGGCACTGACCTCGTGTGTTACGCGGATGACACCTTGGTCACTGCCCGGGGGCGGGACCTACGGGAGGCTACCCGCTTTGCCACGGCAAGCGTGGCGCTGGTCGTCGGCCGAATAAGGAGGCTTGGGCTCCAGGTGGCGCTGGAGAAGACCGAGGTCCTATGTTTTCATGGACCTCGGCGCGCGCCACCTCCGGATGCCCAGCTGGTCGTCAGTGGCCAGAGGGTGGGGGTCAAGCCCTGTATTAGGTATTTGGGGCTTGACCTGGACAGTCGTTGGAGCTTCCGCGCTCATTTCCGGAACCTGGTCCCTCGCCTTATGGCAGCCGCCGGCGCTCTTAGCTGGCTGCTGCCAAACGTGAGGGGCCCGGGAGAAGGTTCCCGCCGCCTATACCTCGGCGTGGTGCGGTCCATGGCCCTGTACGGGGCCCCCATCTGGGTGGGGGCCCTAGGTAGGAAAATGTGGCCTGTCTTAACAGGCCACACAGGGCCATGGCCATCAGGGCCATTAGAGGCTACCGCACCATATCCGGGGAAGCGGCGGGTCTGCTGGCGGGGTCTCCTCCGTGGGACTTGGTAGCGGAGCTCCACGCGTCAGTGTACCACTGGCGCGCGGAGCGACGTTCCATGGGGGAGGCACTCGCTGGTCACGAGATCGAAGCGCGGAGGTCCGACTTTCGGCGGATCCTCAGGATCAGGTGGAGAGAAAGGCTGGCCAGTCCATCGGCCGGCCTGAGGACCGTCGAGGCTGTCCGTCCCATCCTCAAACGGTGGATGAATAGGAGATGGCCACTGACGTACCGCATGACGCAGATACTGTCCGGGCACGGATGCTTCGGGCGGTATCTGTGTCATGTGGCGAGGAAGGAGCCGACGACCGGCTGCCACGAGTGCGGAGGTGTTGAGGACACGGCGCAACACACGCTGGAAATATGTCCAGCGTTTGAGAGTGAGCGCCGTGTCCTCACACGAATAGTGGGGGACGATCTCTCGCTGCCGAATTTAGTTCGGAGGATGGTCAGTAGCGAGAGATCGTGGCTGGCGGTGAGCTCCTTCTGCGAGGAAGTTATCTCGCGGAAGGAGGCGGCGGAAAGGGAGCGGGAGTCAGCTCGTCCCGCTTCCCTCCGCCGCAGAAGAGCCAGGCCTAGAGGTGGGAGCGTATCCAACTCCGCCCCCCTCTATCCCCCACTGGGGCCGGGGTGACTGCCTTGAGGGAGGCAGTTCCCCCAATCCAAAGGCCCCGGAGGTGTGCGCGTGTACCCACACGCCTCCACAATGGAGTAGGGCGAAATAGGTCGCCCTAACCACAAAACGAGATGGGGCCTGCCCTACAACATCTACAGGGCGGGCCGTCGCCGTCGGAGCTGGGGTAGAATGCACCTGCGATCCCCTGGCTCCGGCATAGGCGCTCGTAGGTACACCGTGTGGTTTTTTAGTGGGTACAAGACCCACACACCACCTCGCCATCCCTCCGGCGGGGTGACGGTCTTTTGAAGATTTTTCCACACGTTAAAAAAAAAAAAAAAAGGGAGTTAAGTTAGGCAGCCACCCAATCCAAAGGCCCCGGAGGTGTGCGCGTGTACCCACACGCCTCCAGAATGGAGTAGGGCGAAATAGGTCGCCCTAACCACATAACGAGATGGGGCCTGCCCTACAACATCTACAGGGCGGGCCGTCGCCGTCGGAGCTGGGGTAGAAATGCACTTGCGAATCCCCTGGCTCCGGCATAGGCGCTCGTAGGTAGGTTTTCGTAAGTACAAATCTCACACACCGCCCCGTCCTCCCTCCGGCGGGGTGACGGTCTTTTGAAGATTTTCCACACGTTAAAAAAAAAAAGGGAATTAAGTTAGGCAGCCTCCCAATTCGATGGCACCGGAGGTGTGCGCGTGTTTGTACGCCTCCACAATGGAGTAGGGCGATATAGGTCGCCCTAACAACGAGATGGGGTCTGCCTTATAACATCTACAGGGCGGGTTGACCCCGTCAGGGTCGCGGTAGTCATGCTAGCGCGACCTCAATGGGGCAATGGGGCTCGTAGGTAACACCGTGTGTTTAGAGGGTTCAAAATCCGCAGATTTTTTATTATTAATGTTTCTAAGGACTGTATTTTTAATATATTTTAATTTTAGTTACAAGAGAAACTACGGTCGCTGTAGGTAAAAGACATATATTTCAAAATGACAAATAATAGAACACTAGAAAATGGATTTTAATATATAAAAAAATACAATAAAAGTCTAAAAAGGTGCGTCGTGCACACCCCTCGTCATCCCACCGGAGGGACAGCCTATTGAACGGACCATGTAATGCATGCTCCACCAGGGTGCGAGTCCCATATACTGACCATGTAGTGTGCATGCTCCACCAGGGTGCGAGTCCCATATACTGACCATGTAGTGTGCATGCTCCACCAGAGTGCGAGTCCCATGTAGTGTGCATGCTCCACCAGGGTGCGAGTCCCATATACTGACCATGTAGTGTGCATGCTCCACCAGGGTGCGAGTCCCATATACTGACCATGTAGTGTGCATGCTCCACCAGAGTGCGAGTCCCATGTAGTGTGCATGCTCCACCAGGGTGCGAGTCCCATGTAGTGTGCATGCTCCACCAGGGTGCGAGTCCCATGTAGTGTGCATGCTCCACCAGGGTGCGAGTCCCATGTAGTGTGCATGCTCCACCAGGGTGCGAGTCCCATATACTGACCATGTAGTGTGCATGCTCCACCAGGGTGCGAGTCCCATATACTGACCATGTAGTGTGCATGCTCCACCAGGGTGCGAGTCCCATATACTGACCATGTAGTGTGCATGCTCCACCAGGGTGCGAGTCCCATATACTGACCATGTAGTGTGCATGCTCCACCAGAGTGCGAGTCCCATGTAGTGTGCATGCTCCACCAGGGTGCGAGTCCCATGTAGTGTGCATGCTCCACCAGGGTGCGAGTCCCATATACTGACCATGTAGTGTGCATGCTCCACCAGAGTGCGAGTCCCATGTAGTGTGCATGCTCCACCAGGGTGCGAGTCCCATATACTGACCATGTAGTGTGCATGCTCCACCAGGGTGCGAGTCCCATATACTGACCATGTAGTGTGCATGCTCCACCAGGGAGCGAGTCCCATATACTGACCATGTAGTGTGCATGATCCACCAGGGAGCGAGTCCCATATACTGACCATGTAGTGTGCATGATCCACCAGGGTGCGAGTTCCATATACTGACCATGTAGTGTGCATGATCCACCAGGGAGCGAGTCCCATATACTGACCATGTAGTGTGCATGATCCACCAGGGTGCGAGTTCCATATACTGACCATGTAGTGTGCATGATCCACCAGCGTGCGAGTCCCATATACTGACCATGTAGTGTGCATGCTCCACCAGGGTGCGAGTCCCATATACTGACCATGTAGTGTGCATCCTCCACCAGGGTGCGAGTCCCATATACTGACCCTGTAGTGTGCATGCTCCACCAGGGTGCGAGTCCCATATACTGACCATATAGTGTGCATGCTCCACCAGGGTGCTAGTCCCATATACTGACCATGTACGGCGCGTTGGTGCCACCGGGCGCGTAGAAAAAGACGGTGACGGGCAGCCGGCGGTGCGGCGGGCAGAAGGCGCCCGAGGCGGCCAGCTCGGCGCTGAAGCCGGCCACCGTGGCCACCGGCTCCAGGCGGCCCTGCAGCGCGCACTCCTCGAAGCTGCCTGCGGGGTCACAACTTCACCTTTATACCTACCCATAATCCACACTCCGTACATAGTTGGGTGACATGCTGGATGGACATTTTTATGGGATACATTTACGATATTCAAAGATAACCGGAAGGTTGTTTAGAAAGGATTGCTTATGCGATAAGATCTTATTTATATTCTTTATAATTTACGTCTGGTGCAATAAAGAGTGTTGACAGAAATATTACAAGTGTAGGCACAGAACTATAGAGAAACTAGCTGTCCCGGCAAACGTTGTTTTACCTTAAAATAAAAAAAAAATTAGGGGTGCACTACCCCTAACATTTAGAGGGATGAAAAATAGATGTTGGCCGATTCTCAGACCTACTCAATACGCTCACAAAATTTCATGAGAATCGGTCAAGCCGTTTCGGAGGAGTATGGGAACGAAAACTGTGACACGAGAATTTGATATATAAGATAACATAACAAAGTAAAATTTACGTATATTTTACGTATATGTTACGTTGCGTTAAGTTAATTTAACGTTAAGTTTAGTTAATTTTAAGGTAATTTTATCGTATATAATTTTCACTCACCCAGAAGTCCACCGCTGGGACCAATCTTCAATTTCGATGTTTGAGCTTTCTTCGTCTTTGGCGGTGGTGTGCCGGGGCTGACAGTTTGTGCGGGGGGTGGGGTGGGGGCAGTGGCGGGGACGATGGGGGTGGGGGTGTGCTCGACGACGGGGACGGGGGTTGGCAGCGGGGACGACGGGGAAGCTGGTGGTGCCGGCGACATGGGTGAGATCGGGTGGAACAGGGCGCTGTAAAACAAAAAACGGCAATTACTTTTCAGTATCTACATGAAGTAGAAATATTGATTAAAAAATATGAATATAATAATAATATATTAGGTTAATGATAAAATTAATCTACATAGGTGTAGTTTCTTTCTATTATACTTATAAGCATTGATTAAATCTAATAATTAATTTTATTGATATACAGTTTTTATAAAAGATCGTGTAATATTTCCTATTCGTTTAATATTGTGTGGTAAAGACAAAAAGTTAAGTGATACGAACCTTTTTATACCAGAAATTCCATTAATGGAGTCATCAAAATCGAAGCAATTGTTCCCCCTCCTCAAAGGGGCTGGACTGGACGTCAATGGGAGCCCAGTCTTCGTGTGGAACACCATCGACGCAGCCGAATCGAACCGCCACCTAAACCTATCCATATCCGTCGGGGACGGCACTGTATCCTGTCCTTTTTTTGGCTCCGGGAACTGAAACCCAACCTCGTCGGATGGCGATTCCATATCGCACTTATCAATTGTACCATAGTCACATTTCTCGTACAGAACATAATCTTCACTTATAGAGAAGGTCTTCTGTCTTTTTGTCTCTGGTTTCACCGAGAACACTGTATCATCATTCCTCAGATGCAACTCCTCCATATCCTTCTCCGTCTCCCTCGAGCTTCTGTCGGACACGATCTTCTCTATTCGATCCACAACAGGATAAAATCGTCTCAATTTAGGTCTCTTTATAATAGACTCACTCTCTAATTCTAAACTATTATTATATATATCACACATTATATTACTACTAGAATTATCACATTTATGCTTTTTCAACGCTTTGTCATCTTCTTCGCATTTCCTTCTCGCTCCGTTCTGTTCTTGGCATTTGTTTATCGCGTCCAATAGCACCTCTGATTGATCCAACAGAGCCAGATTGTAATTCGCTTCTGATCTGACCATTCTTCTGTCAGAGCATCCATCGCATTTCATTAGCAACGGTGTACCACACTGGCAAGATATATCGTCCGTTTGTGTAGACACCGTATTTGTCTTCTTAAACTCTGTCGGTGGAATGCTAACGGTTTCGACAAAAGGTGATTTGGACTCTATCCTACTGGCCGGCAGCGTCAAATAAGTTTGGTTTCTATAACAGCCAATAGCTCTAAACCGGTCAAACCTTGCCGCTTGCAGTATCGGAATGGACGTATGCGTTTCTTTAGCCTTCAAATTGTCTCCTTCCGACGATGTACTGTCGCATAACTTCTTCATTTTGCTCTCTTTCCGCAACCGCCTTTTGTATTTCGCTATCTCTTTCAATCTCCTCTCGTCCAACTTCTTCGGCTCCTGACTTAATCTAGTGGAAGATCTGTGATTGCTGTCCGATTCGTCGTCACAGTTGCATTTGTGTTTGCCATTCTCGCTGCACGGTGTATGCATTCTGTCGTCCAGTATTTTCTTGCCTTTATCTGATTCGTTGAAATCGGACTTGTATTTTGTAGACCTAGGCCCTAAAGTGAGATCATTGAGTATACCAACCAATTCCTCTTGGATATTAGTTGGGTCTTTACCAGCTCTGCGACAATTACATTTGACCACGGGGATTTCGTCGACGCGCGGGAGACTTTCAAGGACAACCTTGAGGTATATGCTCTCGCCAATATCCGTGATGGGGAAATTGTGATCGGTGGGTGGTCTAGTGAATTCAGACATGTGATTCTCGCCAGGTATCTTTATGGAGTAGACGATATGCAGTTTGCGTTCATCGTTGATTGGTTCGTCGCAGTTGGATTCGAGTTTTTTGATGTTGCATGTACCACGGCTCAGTTTGCGTCTGAAACACACAGATCATAATCCATTTAGTTAGTAACATAATTATAGGGTACATTATTACTGATTAATATAACATTGACGTGAGAACATGTTTCCGAATGAGTGAATGCAAGAACGAGATGGTCGGATCCATGAGAAGGGCAAACAGAGCGAGTGACAGACTATGAAAGTCTGCGCTACCAAAAATATACACGTCATAATAGATATTGAATTTCTAAGAAATAAAACGTATTTAGTTTTTGGCAAAATTTCGTTATTGATTTGCTCTCGGCCGAAAATTTCTAAAGTTGTTCTTCGAAATCAGGATTCATAATACAACTCTCTTAAGCATTGCACGAATTTGCGCTTGAGATAAAATTGATTATCTGTCTAGATTATCAAATCTGTGCGACTATGCCGACTGAGAGAATATTGGTCATCAAAATCTATTCCCGGCTAGAGCACCACTAAATGTAATAGCAATATTAAAAAGAGATCCATACCTGCGTTCGGTGGGATTATCCGCCTCATCACCTTTGGATTTGAGGGTGGCCAGCCATGCAGACAACTGCGAGAAGTGGAGCTGCGACCTGATGGCGTTTAACAGCCACTGCGACGTTATGAACCCTGGTGTCTCATGATTTCTGGAATTTGCAAGCTCTTTATTAGGAGACTACCCGCAAATTGTACCTTTACTAGATTTTTAATCAGACACGATGTAACACAAGATACATCATCCGTTTGAAAGGACACCGCATGTGTCTTGGTAAACTCTGTTGGTGGAATGCTTTTATTTCTTGCTTGGAAGAAATTTTCTGAAATTCCTCAGAGACTTCTACTTTTCTTCAATGAAATTGGAATGGCAAACAAACTACCGTCGTCTCTATACATGAACAGCACTACGGCATCTCGTTATCATGGCACCTGTGAGAACCCTCATGTGTTGCAATTCCGTAGGACTAAGATGTCATACCTCTTATCCTGTAATTACACTACCTCATCCTACAACTGAAGCATCATAAAAGGTTGCTGCTTAGAGCTGAAATAGGTGGGACCCATACAGGGGAAAAAGGGATTGTTAATAATGTGGACTGCTGTTCTTATTACTAGCAATGTACCATGTCAAGTGATCTCCACGAGGTGTCCACACCTGGAAACCATCGTGATAACTTCTTGGTGAAATTGTCACGATGAGCTAACTGACCTGACCTTAGGCTCATCTTATCATCTTTCACTAGTGCCCCGCCAGCGTAAACCGTTAGCGCAGACGGGTGCACCACTCCATTATCACACGCAGACGATTTTGTACGAAATCTACCTCCTGAGGTCTATAAGCCTTTAATATCAATATATTTTAAGATGAATGTATCTATATGTCAAACATACGGGGTCATTGTTATTCGCTAGAGATCAGTGACGATCGTCTATTACGAGGTCACATTGCAGTCGTCTAAAACAATCACAATTGTAAACAGTTGTCTGTATTTGCTAGTGTACAATTACACTTCCACTTCTTTGTAATTGGTTTAAGGGATAGACTTAACATAAATACAGGGCCGCGTTTCACCTATTAGAGACCCTGGGTCTGGTGACACATTAGGATAAGGGGCCGTTATGAAAAATAGTCTTAAAAAGCCTTTATGTGATGAGGAGTTCAAGTTCTTGCTAGACATTTATAAAACAGAACAAATTACAAAAAAGAACAAATTGAGCATTTGTTAAGTAGTAAGAAATTCGTAAGCATTTGTTAAGACTGATTTTCAGGCGAGAGTAGAGTAGCTATCGGTTATCGTTTGGTAATGGAGTAGGGACTAGACTAGACTAGGGGGGTCCAATCAATCACGGGCCCTGGGCACATGCCCAGTGTGGTGGAGAAGAGGGGCCTATCAATACGGTACGGTAACCATTTACCATCAGATGGGCCGTGTGCTTGTTTGCCACCATAGTAGTATAAAAAAAAAATACTCACTTATGCAGCAGCGCGCTGATCGTCCAGCGTTCTAGAAGCAGGGCGCGCTGCGTGTGCTTGTCATAGTTAGACTCCGCGCGGTTCAACGTCGAGAAACAGTCAGGACAATCGGGCGCCAGAAGCACCTGCAAAGAATAATCAGTAACCGTCCCTATATTAGCTGCCTTTACACCGCTGTTTCTCGCCCGAATCGGCTTTTAAGCAGGAAAGAGTGCGTATGCAAAACGCGGCCACAATTTCGCTTATATCGATCGTGCTTTGATCATTTTTGTAATCAATAATCACTACAAAATGGCAAATCTTTGTTTTCAAGTTTCCACGTTGTCCCTTTGGGGAAGCTTGAATTTCAAGAATACTATCATTGCCTTTCCTAATATTTCTGTTTTCTTGATAACCCCGCTTGTCTTTGTCTTGTCTATGTCTTATAATAAGAAGACCAGATAACCATCATCGTCATCATCATTTACTTTTCCTTATCCCATATCATTTGGGGTCGGTTCAGAATATCTTCGTCTCTATTCGCAGTCATTTCGTTATACACTTATTTTCTTGCCATATCATCTTTCACACATCCATCCATCTCGTTTGGCCTCCCTTTGTCCATTATTCATATGTCATCCTTTCATCATACACAAATCTAAATTCAAATATTATTTATACATATAGACTTGTAGACTTTTATGCAGGTAATATTTTCTTATCACTATCCCTAGTTGAGTAAAATTGTCAAGGAACTAAACTCGTACATTTTTTATGTATCCCGAAATATAAGTAAACTACTCACCTCAATACATATGGGTATCTGATCGGTCCAGAGCGCCTGCACGTGGTTGCTGAGCTTGGCTTCAACAGCTGGCCGCGGCTCCTCAGTTTCTGGCTTCGGCTGGCTCTGGACCTGGAATCGAAACAGTATACCATTACTTGTTTATACCCGGCAGAACTTTAGGTTACGTATTTGATAGCAGCAACATTCAGAAAGATTCTACTGTGCTTCGCAACATAACAAATACTAGGACCTCATAAGTTATTTGTTGAAAAGTTGAGCTTCGTTCTCGTGTGGCAACTACTGCGCTGGATAAGGCAACTGCTATTTCTCTGCGTAATGATGAATTCTAGGATTTCATAATTTGGTTGGTGGCAGGTATAGTGAAGATAAATGTGCACTAGAGACATACAGCCTTCAGCTCTACGTCGGAATAAATACCAGGACATCATAAGGTACTTCTAACTGGTGGAAGGTATAGAATTAAGGTGAAACGTCACCTAGAGCAGCCATATATATGCTCTAGCTGCTTTATGAAAACAAGACATTTGCCGTAACAAATACCAGGTCCTCATAACTCATTTGTTGGCTGGTAGAAGGTTTAGTACTGAGGAGAAAGAGAGCATGCGCTGTAACTTTCAAAATACAGACAAGACATTTGTTCTGCAATAAACACTAGGACCTCATAAATTACTAGGTGGCCGGTGGAAGGTTTCAAACTGAGGAGAAACCACCGAGAGAGCATTCGCTTTTAATTTCCTTTACACACAAGACCTTTGCTCCACGCAGTAATAAATACCAGGACTTCATAACTTACTTGAAGTTGGTGAAAGGTTTAGAATCTTTAGAATTAAGGAGCAACGTCATCTCGAGTAAACACTAGAAATTTACCGCAATAACTACCAGAACCTCAGAACTTGTTGGCTGGTGGAAGATTAAAAAAAAAATAACCGAGAATATACGGTCTTTCATATTCATACAAGGCATTTGCTCTGCACCGTAATAAAAACCAGGACATCATAACTTACTTGTTGGCTGGTGGAAGGTTTAGCGGCGAGAAGCTTGGCCTGTAGCAGCCGGTCTCGCGTGGGGACTGGCGCTCGGGACACGGGGCTGGTGCTCCGCGCCCTGATGATGAGGCGGCCCAACTCCAACAGGAGGTTGGGGCCTGTCGCCGGCGCCGTTGGCAGCGTCTCGCAGCTGTGCATCTGAAAACACAGATTTACTTAATCACAATGTTAGATCACCTCGACTCCTGCTGCGTCGATAGCAGCAGGATCATCCGCAGGCCCTTATGGACCGCTGGGTTCGTGCCTTGAGCTTACACCCCTTGCTCGGGCATATTGCTGGGGTGAACCACCCCATCGTCGTTCATTTACCGGCTAAAAGTCGGAAACCGGATACTTATAAGTAGTCGGTCAGCCCGCTTGTGTGCTCTCTCTTGATTATGCGCTACGTTTATTTTTTTTATTTATTTCAAATCAATGGCGTTACAATTTAATTTACATTAATGTATTTTGTAATATTAAATCTACTATAGGTTTCACTTAATTAACACAAAGTATGTAGTATTGCACTAAAACAAAATAACCAAATAGAAAAGAAAGAAAGAAAGAAAATTGTTTAATTGGTACACTGAAAATAATTTTTAAAATTAAGTTTACATTTTATATTAATAATTAGAGTACCAACTAGGTCTCCGCTCAGCATATGTCGTGACGGGGTGCCACGACGCTGGTTTTCAGCGGACACCTTATATACAATAAATATAATAAAATAATAATACACATACATACATAGATCTAGGCGGATAACACAAACAAAACATTTACGACATAATACCATATATAAATAAAAACCAAACATAAACTACACACTGAAAACATAAAATAAACAAACATAAATTCTGGTGATATAGGAAATCAATGAATTAACTGAACACACAAAAAAAATATGAATTAAATAAATGATTGAATGAATGAGTGTGGAAGCTATACATCTCCATATAATATATACTACACACTGATGCCGGTAACTTGTCTATACAATGTATGCAGTGTGTATATTAAGATATTTTTTACTTAATACTATAAGTAAATACACTGTAGTTTCACTACATATATATGAAAATATTAATACTTGATTAGTTTCTTAATTCATCCATTTTAGTTTCTGTTTTCTTATACTTTATTTTACTATAATAGTATACTTTGCAACTAAATCAAACTAATTTCTAAAAACATTACAAATTTGTATTTGATGGTCTTGGTGGTCTTGCTGTTTAGCACACCGCTTTACTTCCGATGGTCGCGGGTTCGATTCCTCGCTCGGTGCAAACATTTGTATTCATGACTACGATTATTTGTATCGGCCTGGTTGTTTTCTATGTATATTATATATGTATTTACAAAAAAATATATAATAATAATAATCTCAGGACAATTCACACAGCGCCATCTAGACCCAAGTTAAGCTAGCTAAAGCTTGTTTTTTTTTTGTAAATACATACATAGTCGTTTAGTACCTACCTATAACACGAGCTTTGTTCTCTGTGGGACTAGATAGCGCTGTGTTAATTGTCCAGGGTTATTTAATTAAATCATTTGTTATATAAGATATATTACTATTATTTTCCTAATATATAAAAAAAAGCTAAATTCTGCGCAATTGTTAAACTGACAATAGCGTATCCTTTATAAATAATATCAACACATAAACAGATATTATTCATAGATAACAGAAACAAAACCTTTTATATTTAATACGCATTAATTGAAAATTACGTATTCAATATTTTATTTTTATACTTTATTCACCACGGTCGGTCAGCCTACGTCGGTACCTGTATCCCTTCACACTTCAGTACTTCAGACATAGTTTTTTTTTGGTTCGATTTTTCCCTCTTCAGGGAAAGGCAAAAGGACTCAGCCCATACAGCCATTGTCTTCAGTGTGTGTTGTTATAAATGTTTTTTTTCGAATAATTGTCTTCACGTTATAAATCTTGAAATGTTGATATGACGTACTCAAAAATAAGTTTATAAGTTTCTGGGTTCTTCAATAGATTCTGCATGGAGCGCGGGATCTCCATTTTATCATATATATTGATCAATTTATCACTGAAAATTAATCGCTGCAATGCGAAATGATGACAATCAAAAATACAAGTGATCTAGTGATCTAGTGATTGTGATGTCGGCAGAACGGAAGTCACATATAGGGGACGAAACCATTTTCAGCCTATGTAAATGCTTCTTATATTTTCCATGTACAATTCTCATTACATTTCACTACTGTAACTGTATGGCAGTTACGTCAAAATTCTACAAGATGGCGTTACTAAAAAACAGTAAGTATGATCTACGAAAAAAAAATTAATCAAAACAATACGCTATACTGCCCAATCGTCCAGATACTAAATTAAATATTTAAATAAAGAAAACAAACCTTTTACTCCTTCTACGTTAAAATTCATTAAATAATCACAGATTTAAAATATTAATTATCTGGTAAAATGTCCTATTTCAGTGAGCGCCTGTTGCCAACGCCCCAGTTTAAAAATAGAACACGCGCCGTAAACAACAAGAGCGCTGCAGCGCTTTTTGAAGCCTTCCTTCACTGTATGCATTTTTCATCAAGCGTGAATACATTTGCTTAATTCCTTTATCTACCTCGACCTACTAGTGAATCTATACTAATATGATAAAAAGATGGCGGATTTTGTTATGAATAAAGCAAATTTCAGAATGAAATAATGCACCGATTTGAGAAATTCTTTCTAGAAAATATATGATTCCAGAAATAGATCTATAGTAATATTATTTTGACGGCCTCATTGGTCTAATGGTTTAATACACTGCCATACTTCCGATGGTCGCTGGTTCGAATCCTCGCACGGCACAAACATTTGTATTCATGAGTATGATTGTTTGTGTCGGTGTAGGTGTTTCCTACGTACTTAGAAAAAAAATCTATATATTTGTATCAGTTATCTAGTACCCATAACACAAGCTTTAGTTAGCTTAACTTGGGTCTAGATTACGCTTTGTGGTTTGTCCTGAGATTATTATTATTAACGCGAAAGTTGAGTGTGTATGAATCGATGTTTGTTACTCTTTCACGCAAAAACTACTGAACGGATTTTGATGAAACTTTACAGTAATGTAGCTTACTAGCTACCCCGGGTTCGCACGGGTGTACATGTATTATATATATAAACCTTCCTCTTGAATCACTCTATCTATTAAAAAAACCCATCGAAATCCGTTGCGTAGTTTTAAAGATTTAAGCATACATAGGGCGGACAGACAGCGACAGCGACTTTATTTTATATTATATAATGTTACATTAGAATAACACATATACATATATATTTCAAAATATATTTTTTAATGACGTAGAAATATAACGATAAATGTCCAGTAAGTCTGATGCAGACGATCCACTAGTAAATTATAGAGTTTGTTTGTTTATTTGTCCTTTTACAACGACTAAAACGGCTTAACTAATTTTAATGAAAATTTATATGAAGATAGATTGCACCCCAAGGATCAACATAAGTTATTCTATATATCATAAGGAGACAGAGGAAATCGGGGGTAACAAATATATACCACACTCACTCACATAAGACACTTACAACAAAATCAGCTGTGTCTTTACAGACTTAATTAGTATAATAACTTAGTACTTAGTACCCGCGACTTCGTCCGCGTGGAATTTAACATTAACTTTCGACTTGTAAATATGATCTTACAAGGATTATTTAAAAGAGCAACACACAAGTTTCTTGCTCGTTCTTGTGATGAGACAGCTTTCCGAACGAGCGGTAGATAGATAAAAAAAATGTTATGACTATTCAAAAGTGCTTAAATTAATGATTTTCTATTCTATTGTAGTTGAGTATAGTTGGCAAACCTATCTACAACTGTAACACAGCTTATAAAGCAAGCTATTTGCCAGCTGAAATAGGTGAGACTGATGTACACACGCAAACAACTTTTAATAGTATACCTCAAACAAATTAACTAACAATTTCCTTCCCAAGCGCTTTTTTTTTTGTGTATGATAATGGAAGGGTGCACCCATCTGCGCTAACGGTTTACGCTGGCGGGGCACCAGTGGAGGATGATAAGATGAGCATGAGGTCAGGTCAGTTAGCACATCGTGACAAATTCACCAAGAATTTATCACGATGGTTTCCAGGGTGAACCGCGTGGAGGTCGACCTGACATGGTACATTGCTAGCAATGGGATCATCAGTCCACATTACTAACAATCATCTTTCCCCCCATATGTTAGGGGTGGACAACCCTTATCAATTAGGGGTATAAAAAATAGTAGCCGATTCTCATGGTACATTGCTAGTAATGGGAGTTACTAGTTCCCATTGCTAACAATCCCCTTCCGGGGGGAAGGGGATTGTTAGTAATGTAGATTGATGAATGGGGTTACCCATTGCTAGCAATGTACCATGTCAGGTCGACCTCCACGCGGTTCCCCCTGGAAACCACCGTGTTAAATTCCTGGAGAATTTGTCACGATGTGCTAACTGACCTGACCTCATGCTCATCTTATCATCCTCCACTGGTGCCCCGCCAGTGTAAACCGTTAGCGCAGACGGGTGCACCATTCCATTATCATCCACAAAAAAAAAAACATTCCCCTTCCCCCCTCCCAAGCGCTTCATGTAGCCAAGTTTTATAACTCTGTGACGAATAACGATATTTCAAGCGCTGCAGCGCTGCATGCGGTTTCTCTGTCAGTAGGTCAAGGTTGGGTACAAGGACACACCCCTATAAAATTTATATTATATAATTACCCTAGCTGTCCAGTCATACGTTGTTTTTCTATGTAAATTAATAACGCTATAAAAAATAGGGGTTGGTGATAGTAGGGTGAAAGTTTAGGGTTGTATGTATTTTTATGCCACAATAAAAATTAAAAAAATATTTTTTTTTTTGGATGAGCCACCCTTAACACATATAGAGGTATTAAAATTAGTTATAGATCTATTCTTAGACCTACTAAATCATCATTCTTCCTTATCCCATTTATTTGAGGTCGTCGTAATATGTTTTTCTCTTCCATTCATCTCTGTTCGCAGTCATCTCGTTATTTACTCCCTTTCTTACCATATCATCTTTCACACAGTCCATCCATCTCTTTTTCGGTCTTCCTCTGCCCTTATAACCATCCACATTCATATG